ATAATTTAAACTTACTTGGTTTGGCATTTCAAGCAAGCAAGAAAACTTTTTTTGGGGGGGGACAATGATATGCTATTGTGGGTCACCAGCTCCTTGAACTTGAACTTTTTCAAATTGACTCCTCAATGTGATTGAGGTTGAACTTTTGTTATTTCGTCCTCGCACGTCATTCATAGGATCTGAACAGCAGCTACTACAATGACTATGTGAAGAAGCTGCTCAAGAGGAAGAAGCACATCAAAATCAGGTTACTGTACCCTCTATGTCCTATATGTGTTGCTCATATCAAAAACAAACAAACGTGTGCACACAGGATCCGACCGTATGAGAATGGCTTGATTAACGCGCAGAGTTATCAAACAAAACAAACAATAAGAACTCGGGACAGATTCTAGGCATGGTATCAACAGGAAACAGGTTGCCTGTTTTTTTTTCTTGCTGAATTGTCATTCTCGGTCAGTTCTTCTATATCTTCCTTTGGGGATAAATGACTGGCAAAGATGTTATAAAGTCAGAGTAGAAATAGAAACTATGTGCCCACTCTTATTTACCAGTTATTTGGTCATTCAGTCAGTTTTAGAAAAATTTCACAGCATGCCGTATTTTCCGTATTATAAGGTGCTTTGGAATATAAGGCGCACCTTCAATAAATGGCCTCTTTTGAAACTGTTTTCATTTATAGGGCGCACTGCATGATAAGGCACATAAAATAGAAGCTACAATAGTGGCTGCGGTTGATTTATGCATCCACTAAATGGAGCTACGCTAAACGGAATACATTCATTTTCCGATCTGTTTATCCTCACAAGGGTCGCGGGGGGTGCTGGAGCCGATCCAAGCTGTCTTTGGGCAGTAGGCAGGGGACACCCTGAACCGGTTGCCAGCCAATCGCAGGGCACACAGAGACGAACAACCATCCGCGCTCACACTCACACCTCGGGACAATTTGGAGTGTTCAATCAGCCTGCCATGCATGTTTTGGGAATGTGGGAGGAAACCGGAGTACCCGGAGAAAACCCACGCAGGCCCGGGGAGAACATGCAAACTCCACACAGGGAGGCCGGAGCTGGAATTGAACCCAGTACCTCTGCACTGTGAGGTCGACGCACTAACCACTGGTCCACTGGGCTGCCCTAAAGAGAATACAATACAATACAATACAGCTTTCGCAACCACTGCGGCTGTGACAAAGCGCTTTACTGAACATTTAAAATACTACGTCCAAGAAATCAGAATATTGACCCATATAGAAAGCGCAATTTTCTCAACAGCGCATCGGATGATAAGGCTTTTGAGAAAATTGAATGCTTTTCGGTTCGCCTTATAGTACGGAAAATACGGTAATTTTGTCATTGTGTTCACCTTTCATTGCAGAATATCAAGCTCAGAGACGCCCAAGCTGCCTCACAGAATCATGGATGCTGTAAAATCGTACATTTATACGCCAGAGGAAGGTGAAGTGTCACTTTGGCTTTTTGTCGTTAATGTCGGTCCTCCTGATTGCAGCATTGACTGTTTACCTTTCTAAACAGCTTTTAGGTTCCCTTTAAAGTTGGCCATATCTGGTGTGGTGTCGTTCATCACACTTTATCAGGTAACTCGTGGATACTGTGATGTTGTATTGTTATTTTCATGTCAGTGATAGTGGCAAGAGTGATTTCCTTTCCCACCGTCTCCGTTAATTTGCACCTAGCAGCGTAACATTGATTCAAACAAATGTTTCCTATTTCAGGTGGGCCTGCTGCTAATCGTGGCCGTGGTGCCGACGCTCCAAATCGCCCGCATGGGAGTCGATGAAGACATTGCCAACGTTTTAGCCGGTTTCAGGATCATGCTCTCTCCTGATAAACAAGAAGTGGTCCGAATCGTAATCTATTACATTTGGTGCGTCGAGGGTGAGTGAGACCACCAGGCGTGAAAATTAATTCACGAACCAACATTTTCTCCAGATGAATATGACAGCATTACTGGCAGCTTCTAAACAGAATGACATGTTTCAGACTGGCACATCCCTTTCATACAAAACCAACAATATGCAAGAGGCGCACAATATTAATGCAGCATTTTGTTTTTCTGGCAGTATGCTACATCTCAGCGATGACCCTGTCAACGCTCGTCAACTTGGCAATGTTCATGAGGTCCATGGTCCTCCATCGGTAAGAAAAGACACTGTGAAATCCTTTCCTAGCCTTCTTTGCCTCGATTTTGCAGGAGCCAGCTTGACATTGTGATTCTGTCATTATAATACAAAAGCACACGCGGGTATTATGCGAACATAATGGACTCGTAACCGAACATTTATTCTGCATGAACTGCTGCAAGATATGAAAAGGGCTATTAAAATGAATGAAGTGTTCCACCATTACAGTCAATTGCTCTCCTCGTATGCGTTTATTCTGCAGGTCCAACCTGAAGGGGCTGTACAGGGGAGATATCTATAATGTTTATAACTGCCAGAGAAGTATTCGGGCTTCCCGGCCAGCTCTGGTCTGCTGGATGGGATACACCAGCTTCACGGCGGCTCACATCTGCATCGGTATGGTTGAAAGATTAAATAAAATCTACATTCGAATATGCGGCCCGGTGATCGGGTGGTTAGCGTGTCGACCTCACAGTGCAGAGGTGCAGTGTTCGATTCCAGCTCCGACCTTCCTGTGTGGAGTTTGCATGTTCTCCTCGTGCCTGCGTGGGTTTTCTACGGGTACTTTCCTCCCACATTCCAAAAACAGGGACTTGCTGGCTGAACACTCTAATTGTCCCGAGGTGTGAGTGTGAGCGCGGATGGTTGTTCATCTCTGTGTGCCTTGCGATTGGTTGGCAACCGGTTCAGGTTTTTTTTTTTTTTCCGAACACCCTGTACAAGAATAAACGTTCAAAATACAGAAAAAAGCTCTGTATTGGATCTCGTTCAGTTGTGTCGGTGTTTGTAGTGGGTCTATTGTCTCATTTTATTTTATTTATGGTAGTATACGTATTCTAGCAATTGGCATAGTCAGAACCTACGAAGGACTCGCTCGGATTGTGGTCGGATCCACTCATGCTGCCATCTCTCTTCCCACTGTAGGCATGATTGTACAAACCATGGTGTTCTTCCTCTGTCTTCTCATTGCTGTCTTCCTCATTATCATGCCCATCCTACACGGACAGAACTTGTTCCTGTTTCAGCTCCTGTGGAGCATGTGGTGAGACCAAACATTGTAACTCACAATCTAATCAAGTATGAAATTCAAGAAAGTGACGAGGGAAGGTAAAAAAAAAATTTTAAAAAAAGTCATTCGGTCTGCGTGAGGCCGCTTGTGCTTGACATGCAAATATAATGTGAAGTGTGTCTCTTAATGGACATTACGGGAAGTGTTTGATTGTTGACTTTGTCCCTCTAGGCCTTTCTGGCTGATGATTCTCCTGGCTGTGCTGATTCAGCATATCACTTCCAGGTTTTGTTTTATCAAAAGGGTGGCTGGCACGCGAGACCTTGACAACAGGTAATGCGGAGTTTTGATGAAAACAAATGCAGGAAAACCAAAGTCATGATATAAAGTCACTTTGTTCAACACTTCCTCTGAGGAATTGGGCTATTGAATATTTTGAGAATTGATGATTCTACCGATAGATTATTGTACCGATGTTATAATTACTGTCATGACGAATGACACTCATTTCTGAGAAGACACTGAACACATTAGCGATTTCCCACAGTAATGATGAAACGGATAAATATCAATTGACCACACTTTATTCGAAATATCTGCCAGTGTTGACATTTTGAAATGGTCGTTTCTACAATATCCCTGGAGAGTCACAGTGTCTCAAAACTGGTGAACTATTTTTGGGAAGAGGCCCGCGGGTTACTCATGTAGTCCTCCCTGGTGCCCGCGGGCACCGTGTTGGTGACCCCTGCTTTAGACTCTTCTTTCAGGTGCTCCTTTCCTTGTATCGAATCTCAGTCGCCTTTTCTCGAATAGGGGCAACCTCTTCCTGCTGACCTACCTGCTGTTTCCAGTCAATGTTCTCATCGGGGTGCTGCTCGCTGTCTGGCGTATGATCATCACAGCCTTGTTCAACATTGTTCACATGGGACGCATGGATATCAGCCTTCTGAACAGAAATGTGGAGGCATTTGATCCAGGTAAGCCTCTTGGCATCCCGGATGGAAATGTGCCAACCACCTGCATTAAAAAAAAAAAACAACAACAATTAAATACAGTCATACCTAAGTTTTCGACCATAATCCGTTCCAGAAGGCTGTTCGAAAACCGATTTGTTCGAAAACCAAAACCATGCTCTTTTTTAAAAAATCTTTATTGAACACGTCTGCTCACAATGGAATGCTACACGAGGAAGCGCCACTTCCTCGTCTACCCGAGGAAGCGTCACTTTCTCATGTAAGGAAGGCGAGAGGAGTCAAGTGGCAAAAAAAAAAAAAAAAAAAAAAAAAAAGGAGTCAAGTGGCGCATTCAAGTGCGCTCAGTTTGGTCGAGAACCGATTTTCGGTCGTAATCCGAGGCATAAAAAAAACTCTAAATTTTTGATCAAAAACCGATTTGGTCGAGGACAGAGACGTTCGAAAAGCGAGGTTTGACTGTACATTATGCACTACGTAAAAAAATATGATGTACTGCTTAACAAGTTGAGATTAAGACACATATAGGAATTCCAAACAGACTAAGTTTTTGCATGTAGGTCACGATTCATGGAGCACTTCGGCTTTTGTCCATTTCAATGGAAATGTCGAAAAAGGAAGCCATTTTCTCTTGAGCAACCGTTTGCAGTGCTGTGCCATAGGGACTCTAATTGCACTTGGTTCTCTGAAATGGCGGCGGATTTAAGACATTTGTTGTCAGCAAAAGCAGGTGCTAAAAAAAGGAGGGGGGTGGGTGGGGGAGAATGATTGTATGGTCATTATGTGTGATTGCCTCAAAGCTAACATGGAGGGCTGCGATGCATGTTTAGTGATCCCCCCCACCCTGCCCGCCTCGCCTCCTGTGTGTGTCTGCAGCCTACCGCTGTTACGCTCATTATCTGAAGATTGAGGTGAGCCAGTCCCACCCTGTGATGAAGGCTTTCTGCGGGATGCTGCTGCTGTCTGCAGGCCAGAACAACGACGTCGTGCAGAGGTCACGGGACGCCGAAGAGGGTGTGTAGCGCTTCGAGAAAAACCAAAAGCATAGCATACATAACTGAGCTCATGTAGAATGTTTTTTTTACGGAAAGCATCCTCTTTTTTCTCATCATTTGATGTCATTAATGCACCCTATAACCTGATAACATGATAAACTGTCCACTGTAGTAACCGCTGTCCCTGAAAGGGTTCATGGATGACTTGTGGACTTTTGTATCCGACCTAAACCTTCACATCAAATTACTGTCACTTGTTGACTTTTGAAAGGCTCCCAGAATTATTCTAAGTGAGATAACAGGACAGATTTGTTTTAATAGGAAGATCCAGTTTTGCAACGAATCCCCCTCGGATTCGTCCGGAGACGCTTGAGCATTCAGCAGCAGGTCTCCGAAACATAATCCCATCAGGACAGTGTCTCGCACGTGCCGCAGAAATGAAAGCCGAGCTGATTTAATATGTGAGGAGCAAATTGAGTCATGCGTGGAATAATTCACAGTCCTGCCGCTTATGGTCTCAATAAAAATTTGTCATCAAGTATTCAGCGGTTCCATCGGTGTGCCCGCTATGGCCAAACATGATTAGCAGTTCTCATGTGTTATTTAAAGAATAGAAAGAACTACTTCGAGGCCTGATTGTGGATCGGAGAGGAGAATAAATCACTGATAAATGAGGAGGTCGCCCAATAAAGTGAGCCGTAAATGGAAAACTACATCAGGGCTCTTTAGATGTAAAAAAAAAAAAAAAAAAAAAAAAAAATGTCCCTGCTTGCTTAATGAATTATGTTATAATAACAATAATGTGTTGTATTACAGAGATGGATTCTTTTGGAAGCGATTACGCAGATGAACTGCGCTAATTGCCTAGTTACTATTCATGCCGTCGAGGGACTGACACTTTCAGTGTGTTAATGGTGACGCCCGTGTGCGTGCGTGTGTATGTGTGTGTGTGTGTGTGTGTGTGTGTGTGTGTGTGTGTGTGTGTGTGTGTGTGTGCGTGTGTGCGTGTGCGCACGTGTTTCCATCATGCCAAGAGGATTACAATGATTGCTTTCTATTATTATCGCTCCCATCATATCTATGTGGTCCTCTGAGGCCTTCAAATGTTATTGTTAGTTCTATACTGTAGAAGAGAAGAGACGCACTTACCGCTGACCGCCATATTAGGTACACCTGCAAAGAGAGCTAATACAGAAGATGGATATTAAAGGGGAGGGGGCAGTTCAGCTTTATCAAGGCTGTTTTGACAAACTCAAAGAACAAAATATGCACCTTGGTTGTAATGAATGAGTTTTGACTTTACTGAGCCAAATTATTATATTCGGTTTTCACATTGAATTTGAGGGAACTACATGGAAGTGCCATTTTTTTGGGATCCAGCTTTTCTATCTTGTTTTGTGTTGCAGGTGTAGTGCCCATTGAATGTTTACAGTAATCCCAGCACATTCCCAGTCAAAAATGTCACTTAGCCGTAGCTTCCCGGCACATTTATGTACTTGTTCTATAACACCAAGGATGCCAAAGCTTTGGTTTAACAGGAAAGGAGTATTTGGTATGAACAAAATACTGTAAATTGAAGTGATGCATCTCGAGTATTGAAAGCAGTTTAGCCTGAGTTGCTAACAGAATGACTCTTGTGTTTTTGCTGTGCTGAAAGCAAGTCATCTGAAAGCTATTTATTTTCAAGGTGATGTAAAATATGTTTTATATTTAAGTGTTTTGGGCTCATACAATATTTTGGGCTGATACAATATTGATGGTACGCTCTTGTATGTCTTCAGGTATCCAGCTGGTCCAGCAGGAGAAAAAGCATCTGAAAGTGCCCAGTGCCAAGCGAGCCCGGGGCCACTGGCAGCTCCTCTACACGCTGGTCAACAACCCGTCCGTGGTGGGCACCAGGAAGCACTTCCAGCAGCGCGTGGCCACCGAGAGCTTTGTCAACGGGAGCCTGAAGGGCAGCAGCAAGAAGGAGGCCGAGGCGGCCGCCTGCAACTGAACAATGGGGGCCTGTCTGAATAAATGATAGTCCTGTTGTGGGTTTTTTTTTCTGCTCCTTGTATAGTTGCGCAGGTAGAGATCAGTGCCTCTTGTCCTCCCATTCTCTGCTTTGTTCTGCGCATCATGTTGTCTCCCGGTGGGGAACATGTGAGGGGGGGCCTCACAGTCTCCAGTTATAGGGGAGGAGCTGCTGTAGGCACCTCACCACCATGATGAGCAACCCTCCACGCATTTACTTCAATACCACTTATTTGCCTCTCCTCAAAATATAAGGCGAATCAGTATGTTGTCACTTCAGATCACGCAAATGACCCAAAGTCAACACATGAATGTGCTAAACACCATTTCAAGAGGGTATTTATTCCAGAACCTGACTATTTATACATTTACAGAATCCTGTTTCTTAGACTGGGTTGTCAGTTGCGCACTTATTTCCTATTGCATATCAATTTTTGTGTGATTACAAATAACGCGGAGTTGGGAATGACCCAAAAAAAAATGAAACATTTGTATTGCAGCCTGTTGTTGCTGTCACCTCTCTGTTTGACTTGAGAGAGATATTTTTGCATTTATTTGCCAAATGTCGAATTTGAAGTGAAAATCCTCACTATTAAAATAAAACAAAGAAGGAAAATACGAGTGTGTCGTCTATGTCAGGGGTCCCTAATCTTTTTTGCCCCACGGACCGGTTTTTGTCAGACAATATTTTCACGGACTGGCATTTAAGGTGTGGCGGATAAATACTACAAAATAATATGGTAAGAGCTGCATGAACACTGGTGTTTTTCAGAGATAATAATAAACACGAGGAGCGTCTAATCTGGCTGCAACACTCTGATCGCTATGGTAATGTTTCATGCCTTCAAAATACGATACAACGCAAATTCAAAGTGCATGAAAATGTCAACTCACCACAATGCTGAATCAGTGCGAGCCCCGAGGTTGATTTTCTACAACCGGGCGGTCCCATCTCGGGGTAATAGGAGACAATGACACCTGAAGTGTGTGCTTTATGTCGAGTCGACTTCATAATTTTGTTTTAGTCGCCGTTGCTGCACAAAACCCCCGCCTCACACAGGTAGCATGTCGGAAATAGCAACAGTGCTATTGTGGCGATCTCAGAGTATTCAGCCATAACTTGAATCCACAACACCGGCAGAGTTGTTGTCTCGAACGTACTTTTAAGGCCCCGTCATTTGCGATCTCCAGCAGTTTATTCTACTCATTTAGCAAGCTCCAGCGTTTTGTTTTGAAGCGTAATCAGTCACGTGACGGAGAAGCGTAGTTTGACATGCGTCAAGAGTGACACAAACGGATGTAACGGAGAGTCGGGTAATTTTTCAAAATAAAATATTTTTCGTATTCCAAAATAAATACCACGGAAATAATGTAAGTTCTTATTGTGCGGCCCGGTACCAAATGCCCCGCGGACCGGCGGTTGGGGACCCCTGGTCTATGTGAATAGGAAGGGAACGTTTATCCACATAGCAGGTACACACATTTAATTTCACATTTAACAGCCATTAAAAATAATTACAAAAAAACACTGCACCATTAAAATGCAGTTTCTTCACCGTATTTACAATTACACATTTGTCGTTATTTGTCTGCAAAATAAATAAAAATTCGATAGATGCCCTTTTTTTCAAATGTTTTATTAATTCCACTTACAATAAATTATATAAAAAATCTTCAAAGATCACGTTTTCTTTCCGTTTTACATATTTCACCAAAAAAAAAAAAAAATCACTCGGCATTAAAGTACAAGAACAAAGAAGCCGACGGACGCTCTCGTGCGTCCTTTTGTTTTGTGGGCTTCATAGAAACTCACCCGAACATTAAAAATGTACATGGTTCACAGTACAGATTGACAGCATCTAACATCAAAATATAAAGTCATCTAGGAGGACTACACGGGTATTAGAAAAAAAGCACACGAGTAATAAAACAGCATCATGCCATGGATGATATAGATGGCTCGCTTGATCAATCGCACATTTAAAGCATCACGTCGCGTAGGATGAGATGTAAATAGGTAAACATTTGAAAGATTAAAAATCCAGAGTAAAGTCTCCTCGGAGCCGTGTGGCGGATTTTTTTTTTTTTGACATGATGTTTCGCACCCGTGCGGCAATATTACCTGAGCCTTTCTTTTTCAACCGGATAATTAAAAATGTCTGTAAAAGATTGATCCCTACGGAGACAATGCACTTAATTTGGCTTTTTTTTTGTTTTTTTGCATTTGTTTGTGCTCGAAAACAGTGATTCCCAACCACTATGCCGCGTCACATATCGCATAATTGATCCGATGTATTTATCTATTCACGGTAATATACATTTGTTTATCTAACTGTGCCAGCGACACGCCGTGACAGCTTTTTTTTTTTTTTAATGTGAATCCGTCGAACGCTACGCTTTGTGACTGTATCGTTTGTGCCGTGACATTTTTCGAATGTAAAATATGTGCCGCTGTTTAGTAAACGTTGGGAAAAACCGGCAGAGAAATTGCCGAATTTTTAATCCAGTCGCTGTTCTGCGCAGTTGAATTAGCGCCTCTTTTGGTGCGTAAAGACGTTGTTTAAAATTACAAGAGACTCTTACACTCTCAGTGACAGGCGAGGTTTTTTTTCTGAGGTTAAAAATAAAGGAAAATAAAATAAGTATTTGTGGATTAAAAGGAAGGGGGATCTTACAAGGCTCTCAGCGGCTTGGCTGCTTGTAGTTTCCGTTGATCTCCTCGGAAATGTTGACGGCCTCCGCTCCCAGCGGGAGTCTGTCACTGTACTCAGAGCCCACCTCGAACTCCTCCTGGTTGGTCTTGGATGAAGACCCGGGGAGGGATTCCGTCGCCAAGCTGCCCTCGGCTTCACCCTCTCCCTCGGGAGGCTCTCCACCTTCCTCGCCCATTTCGCTGGGGTTGAAGGTCTTCTCGGATTCCACGAAGGACGTCCTCCGATCGAAGTCTCCGGTCATTTGCTTCTCCATCTGGTCGGGATTGTGCGCTTTCATGATGAGTTTATAGGTCTTCCCTTGGTATTTGTAGAGAAGGTGGCAGCAGGTGGCCCCCAGGAGGGGCACCGTGGCCAGGCCCAGGAGGAAAATGCTCACCACCACGATAATGAGAAGAGAGGGGATCTTCTTCCTGGTTGTGAAGACCACTTGGACTTGACAGTCTTGTCCCCCGTACGTGAGACAAAGAGTGTAGTTGGTGCCAGGGTGTAATCCGGTGAAGTGATAGGAGTTGACCCCTTCTTCGATGTTAGACCACTTGATGAGGGAGTGTCCGTTTCCTGTGTCCACGCAGATGTAGAGCATATCCGGACCGGCTTTCTCCGAGGCCGACTTGTACAGACCGACGGGCTCTCTCACCACCGTGTCGGCGATGTCACTTTGGCTCAGGTGAAGGTTGGATTTGCTGCGGGCGAGCTGCAGCGGGTTCAGCTTGACCCTGGCCTCCGTCTCCGACACCTCCAGGGCGATGACGCCAAAATCGAAGGTGTACTGCTTGAGGTCGTCCAGGCTCATGTTAAAGGCGTGGTTGGAAACGTATTCGCTGCCGTCTCGCACGCCACACTTGCTGGTAAACACGGGGTCTTTGGAAACCCACTCCTTGTGGGTGCCGTCTTCTTTGTCTGAGGGACCGTCTGGCATGATCTTGGTCCTGTCCTTGGTCCAGTTGATCACGTTGTTTTTGGAGTTCTTGGGCTGAGTGGGCTTGTTGTAGGATGGGCGGATCTTGTCCACAGTGGAATCCACTGCCACGTGTTTTTTGTTCGCCGCCGGGGACAGTTTGACCGTGCTCTCGGCCTTGCCCAGATCGTTCATCGCCAGGCAGGTGTAATTCCCGTCTTCCTTTTTAGTCAGGCGAGGGACGACCAGGGTGCCATTTTGAAAAACCAGGAAGTGACTGTTGGTGGTCTTATCGTTGATTGGCAGGTCGTGGGCTTCGCTCGTGGAGGGCAAAGGGAACAGGAAGTTCTGATTCCCTGCAATGACCTCCCAGCTAACCAGCGGTGTTGGACTTCCTTTGGTCTCGCAGTTCAAGACCACCGTGGAGCCCTCAACCAACTCTACGCTGCCAATGTCGGGTTGGAACGTGATCGTGACAACAGGAACCTGACAGTCCAGCTTGGGGATTTTTGTCACCATGACACCCTTCAGGTCCTCGGGAGCCTCGCACAGAATCGAATTTGGCTCGGGGACGGAGATCTTGGTCGTGGAGATCCAGTCCCTCAACCACTCCAGGCTGCAGGAGCATGAGAAGGGGTTGTTGTAGATCTGCAGGTGGGACATGGAGGACAGAGCGGCAAAGGTACCCTGAACGATGGTGGTGAACTTGTTGTTGTTGATACGCAGCGAGCGCAGATCTTTGAGCGTGGAGAAGGCGTCCTTGGGGAGGTTCACCATCTCGTTGTTGTTCATTTTGAGAAGTTGCAAGGCGGTTAGATTCAGCAAGTCCTCCCATGGAAAGTTGACGATTTTGTTGTAGCTGATGTCCAGGTTGCGCAGTTGAATCAAGGGGGCCAGCGTGTCCGTCTCAATGGAGACAATTTCGTTGTGGGCCAGCCAGAGAGATGTGACCTGGGTGATATTTACGAAGCTTTTGCTTTTCAGAGATTTGATCTTGTTGGCCGAGAGGCCCACGGTGGTGACGTTAGAGGGCAGACCCACGGGCACGGCCAGCAGGTCTTTGTAAGCGCAGTCTGCGAACTGGTGGGCGAATTTGTCCTGGCAGGTGCACTGCTCCGGGCAGCAGCGCACCTTGGCCAGCAGCGTCAGCCACAAAGCCGCGAGCGCCACGAGCTTTGGCACCATTTTCTGCACCTGCAAGCAATTCAAGAAAACCTGCTGATTTGGATCCAGAAATTTAAGCACATTAAGTTATAAATTTATGTTATGTTAAAAATTATGGATCACAAAAGGACCCAAAATGACCCAACTTTTCAGTTTTTTTTTTGCACAAAACAAGGCAAAGTTGGGTTGTTCATTCAACTCTTTATGCAAAAAAAAAAAAAAAAGTGCTTTTTAAATTTTTTATTTATAACCTCCCACTGCCCAAAAAGGGACAAATTGACCGGTCAGTCCCTTTTTTGACCCGAAATTGGGTTGTTTTTGCCCATACTATTTAAAGAGTACAAGAGCAACAGAAATGTGCAATAAAAGTAACCAAATCACATCGTTCTATTTTCGGAAGCTCTTCGGTGCAACCCCAGCTGACTTTGGGCAAATGGCTGGGTAAACTCTTCATACTACTGGGTCAAAAATAGCCCAATTTTGCTCAAAAATTGGACCGACCTGCTATTTGGATCAATTTGACCCACGTTTTTTTTTTTTTTGTGTGTGTATTAAAACAAAACTTGTGTGTGTGTTGGGAACAAAACGTTGGGTCAAATACAAACCCAAGTAGCGGGTTGGCCCATTTTTTGACCCAAATTGTTTTTGATTGAGTGTATTAAGGGTCTATCGACAAACAACCATTCATAGCCACAATTTTACGGACAATTTAACCTTCAATGACCTTAACATGCATGTTTTGGAATGTGGTGAAAAATAGAGTACAAGCGTGAGGAAAATATAGAAAGTTCACACATGGTTGCATCTGATATTTGAACCTCGAGCCTCCAAACAGTGAGACAGCCCAACACAACCACAGTGCTGACCATTTAAAATTCATACAAGATATCCATCAACCATCCAATTTCTATAACGGTTGATGTCATTGGGTCAGGAGGTGAACTGAAGCCTATGCTTAGGTTTGGGCAAGAAGTGGGGTCCACCCTGGACAGGTCGCCAGTCATTTTCAAGGCAGGGACATTTCGATAAACAAGCATCCAAACTCACATTCACACCAATTATTTTGGGTCTTGCATTTAAAAAAAAACTGATTGGAACTGCTGATGCAGACACACTAAAAACAAATTTCAAATTATATTCGAGTTGAAGCAAAACTAAACACTCAAAATGCATTTTGTTTTTAAAAAAAGAGGTTTATGAGCTCACAGCACATGGTGTCATTTAAAGTGACATGTCATGTTATCTGCTATCTCCATCATTTCCTTTCTTTTAAGCAATTCATCTACCCTGTGCATTTTTTCCTTTCGCCATGAACTGCCTCATAAATGGAATTTTGAATGGACTTACCTGTCCAGTGGTAACTTCAACTCCGCTTCCAATTAATCACAGTCTACTTTTGAGTCAAAAAAAATTCAGAAGTGCAAGAAAAATCTCACGAGTAGCACATTTCATACGACTTTTGCAGCGATGGGAGCGATGGAGGCAACATGTTTTTCGTCCCAGTGAGCAGTTTGCGGTCCGTGGGTGAATCCCCCCCCACTCTCCCTCTCTTTCTGCTGCGAGTGTCGGATCCTCTGCGCGCGCACCCGTCGCCGAGCAGCCGGCAAAGCAGTCGTCGGGAGCGCGCAGCCTCTCCCACATCCCGCCCGCCTCTTCGCTATTAAAGATACAGCAGCTCGGCGTCCTCCAAACAAATTCATAATTGAAGCGTTTGATGATTAATTAATTAGCCAGATCTAAACTTAATCTTTGACCCCATTTGGCTCTCCTGCAGCCCCTTTGTGTCTGGAATCGAGACGACTTGAACATTTCCAGTCATCTAAAAACTAAACGCGCATACATATAACTATATGTCTGAAACAATTTATGCTATTGACCGTTTGAACGATGTAATCACCTGCCGCACATGAACGCCACTCTTATCACATTCGTGCAATGTACTGCACTATATGCCATTTTGTAAATACACTCCACTGCTCCTTTTATACACAGGTAAAATCAAATAAAAGCAAATACGAGATCTGCCTTTACAACGATGATAATAATGCTGTTTTGTTGACAGTTAATTTACTGTTTAAAAGTGACATTCTAAAGTCATTTTAACAATTGCACTGCATTAGTCAGTTTTTTGCCTGTCTCAGCGACAAAAGGGAAGCAAATTTTAAAACACCTCTCAATGTGATGCTGTTCATTTCTGTCAGAATATGGTCCTTTTTTTCATAAAAGCAGATATTTCTATACAGTTGTATCGGAATACATATCGTGCAAGTGACCGTTATGTCGTGGCGGATGACCCTTTTTAACACCCTGTACCGTAATTTCAAGTTCTTTCAGCCAACAGTGACATCTACAGTTGATATGGTGTAGTTACACCTGCTTGTGCTTCCCCCCCCCCACTCCCCACCCACCACATTCCTGACCAAATTCTCAGTCCCACTTTCTACCCAATTTAAAATCACGAACACACTAATAAACATATTATGACATACATTTCCGTCAGTTTAAATTAAAACATATATGATTATCATCCCAGTTGTATTTTATTGTATCTATTTTAGCCGATCAGGTGACAAAATGGCTTTTTAGGACTGCAGTTTTGTGCACTGGCACAACCTGTGTCATGTATGGGAATTTTTCATAACGCGGTCAGTGCCATTGGTTTGAAATGATTGAAATGTGGCGTCGCTACACGTCTAGTTGGTGTGTAGCTGTTCGGTATCAATTGGAACCGTTATATAAGACGACAACGACCCCTGCTGTTAAAAAAAAGTTCTTAATTTTTTTTTAATTCAGTCTGTTCATTATGGAGCGTTTCTGCTCACAGCAATGTTTCCCGTACGTGCATACTGTAGATCAGGGATGGGCAACTTAAATGCTGGATTCGGCCACAATTTTTTGCGATTCACGGTTTGTGTTTCCATGGGGAGAGGCATTTTTGACGGACGTCAGAAATCGGGGGGTCGACTTCGCAACTCCCAGTTCAAAGGGGCGTTCTATTGCACTCTTCCTGGTGGGAGGTCAGAAAATTCCGACTTCCCACCTTCCTCGAATGCAGCATAAGACCCAGTGTACGCGCAACATTGTCATGTCTGCCATCTAGTCATGATTGGTAATATTACAACTTAAAACTACAGTCGACCCCTGCATATTCGAGGTTACACACTTTCGTGAATTTTGGGGGGGGTCTTTTTTTTCCCCATATTTCGAATTTTTTTCCAGCATTCTCCTCCGCACCCCACACAATTTCCTCCCCCAGTTTAAAGTGGCAAACATATAATTCATGTTTTTTTAAAATATATAATACTTTTTAGGTTTGATTAAAAAAAAAAAGTACATTTAAAAAATGAAGTTTCCCTCCAAAACCCCCGTTATACTTCCCACTCCTCGACTCTATGGGATACCATGTCAATATAATCGGCGTCGGTTGTTCTGAATCAGTAATGCTGCCCAATGTAACGTAAACTATACTAGTGATTTAACTGTTTCTTTAACCAATAAGAGTTCAGATTAATTCCAACAAGGTTTCAAATTCGTCTGTGGTGCAATGAAGAAGTAGATTAAGAAGGAGGAGGTGCCCACTGAAGGCTCACGTACCAAATGCACAGCCCATCACTGGTTAACATAATGAGAGCATACATACCAGTCTCGTATGTTGTCTAACATGGATTTACGTCATTCACTGGGTGTGGAAGTGATTTCTGTCATCCCAGTGTGTATTGCAATCAAAACAAGTAGTTTTGACATTAGAAAGAAACAAAATGTGTTTTTTTGTCAAATGTTATCCTTTAGCTCGACTTCCTTCCCACACTTCCTGTTCACAGGAAACAAGACAATTTGTTGTCCGTAATCAGTGGCTGACCCCCCCAGAGATTCAAGGTCTATTTACACTCGTCCGGCCTTGTGGCAGAGAGAACAGGCTGTCTTGCGGCGTCATACAGAATTATAGCTGATGACAGTGAACAGGGCGAGGATTTTCAATGTGCTTATTCAAGCAAGAATAATCACAATCCTATCATGAAGGCTAAGCTTCCCAAATGCAAGTTCCTCATGGCATCGAAAGTCCGCCCTTTCGACACTCTTGTTGCTGTGGCACAGTGTAGTCTCACTTCTTTGTGAGTTCACAGCGACCCGCCCTTTCGACACTCTTGTTGTTGTGGCACAAACAGTGTAGTCTCACTTCTTTGTGAGTTCACAGCGACAACAATGAGCCAACCTCTGCGCAACAAGATGACGTAGAATACATACAAGGTCTCTCTGTGCGCCATCCTCATGTGACTTGACATGGAAACAACGGGCAAAACAAGCAAACATTATACATAATCACATGCTGTTAGCCAACAACTTCCCAGTTGAGACTGACCTAAGTGCCAACCGACCACACAAAACAGAAAACAGGAAATACACAGAGGTGCCTGGCAAATCACAAATAATCATTTTTCCATTGAAATGAATGGAAATACCATTAATTCTTTCCGGATCCCCTCCCCAAAAGTACCATGACAACATTTTACTTGATAAAAACAGTTTTGACAAAATGATCACACTGCAACAAAGATGGACAGACATACAGGCACACTGTTTATTGAGATGGTTCAGCTCATCCGTATGGTATTCATATTAGTCATTCTGCAAAGAGGATAAAGAATAGCTGACCGAGTAAATATGTATAGATGTGTATTACATTATGTACTTGATAAAAACACACTTTTGAAATTAATTATGAAAAGTTTTGACAAAATTATCACACTGCAACAAAGATGGACAGACATATGGGCATACTGTTTATTGATATGGTTCAGCTCATCCGTATGGCACTACGCATAATGGCATGTTAGTCAGTCTGCAAAGAGGATAAAGAATAGATGACCGAGTAAATATGTATAGATGTGTATTACATTATATCGTCTGTCTACATGTGATGCTGGGCTGTATGCTCAATCCGTTGCAACATAGACGGATGCTATTGAACATTAACATTAAGATAGGGAAATTTAAAAGCTAAGCTATGTGGTTGTTTAGAAAAAAACATTAGGTATAATTGTTTGATATTTAATTTGACCGTGAACTTCAACCGGGAGTGGTAATAAATAGTTTGAAACCTCTTTTTAGATGAACTGTACACTCATATTGCTCCTGCTTGTTGTGAAATAAATTGATAATAATCAAAAAAATTAATAAATCCACCGTTACATTGTGAATCTGAAGCACTCACTCACAGGATAGAGAATTCACTTGCTTGGACCAATTAGATTCTCATGTTTTTTTTATTGCAACAATAAAGCAAAATCTTTACTGTGCTTGTTTTATACACACAAATACACACACACACACACACACACACACACACACACACACACACCATACATATATATCATAGACAGTTTTGGTGAAGCATGTATTACTACATTTTGTTGACTATACATATATATGTACATTTTTCAAATAAATAAATATAACCTTTCATTCATGCTCTTCAGTGGACAGAGGCAATACATTAACTGACAATGCAAAAAAATTTTAAAAAAAAAAGACTTAAAGGGGAATAATTGCAAAAAACAATGTTTGCAACAGTATGTTAAATGTGCTCCTATTAGCTACACATCGCATTCTGATTAATATTACATTTGTGGGATCAAACAGATTAATCAATCCACCTCAGGGGGCGGCATTTTCGGCTCACATTGCGCTGTTGGTCATGTGACCGTGATGTTTGCAATGCGAGCCTGAGGGAAGCTGTGATGTGGATCTCACTCATCAGTAGAGGGCGGTTTTGGCCAAAATGGCGGCCCCGAAATGGATGAAAAAGGATGGCTTCATCTGCTTGATTCTTATTCCACACTTGTAATATTAAACAGAATACGGCGTTTACAATGTAGGGGCACATATGACAAAGCTTGCGAGGAAAAATTTTTGCATTTAGTTTCCCTTTAAGTGACAATGTTAACGTCATGGTAAGGTTTGTACAAAAAATGCAATGTGCGAATAAATATGGAGTATAATTTATCTTAAACCCGGCATCATCTCTACACAGGTACAAATATACATACGATAGTGCAAGAAACATGATCATTAGTAGTTGAAATAAAATGTATATTATTGAAGAGGTTAGAAATTGTCGACTCCGTAACAAAGGCTGTCTTATTGCACGTTTACAAAGGCCTCCTTGTCCGTGAGTTGTTCTCAGCAGAGGTAGGTGGCGGTGGTGGGGGGAACAAAACAAGGAAATTCATCGAAGGACTCGGGGGTGGGTGGGAGGTGTGCCTCCACCCTTCTGCACACAATACACTCGCTCAATTTGGCTGGAAGAGAGCCAGACTGCGCACTCCTTGTAGACTAAACCACCTGCCTCAACATGTGCGAGACTCACTGTTTGGGAACATGCACTCCAGAGCACTCACTCATTGTGTGGATGAAGCTGAGGGCAAAGAGGACACACATACACACAATGGGACACTTCAATTTCACCTGAAAATATCAGTTGCAAAATTATGCTGAGGCTACAGTGGCATCTCTGTCGCTGTCACGGCGACCCTGGATCACTGACGAAGAAGTGAACCGGCCGGGACGCCTCTCTTGTCATTTTAGTGTTAAGGCTACTTAGTGCAGTGATTGGAGGAAAATTAAGCACACACTAAACATTCATTACGGTAATAGGAAATGAGTTGTGTTAGTGTTCATCACATACTTTACATTCATTGACTTGGTCTTTTAGCGTTTTTTTTTTTTTTGTTTGTTTTTTTGCTGCGGTTACTACAGTGGACAGCTTATCATGGTATGAGGTTACAAGGTGCATGAAGGGGTGAAAACATGTTTTCAGCACTCCACTTGGATTGAGCAACGTGGGTTAAAAGCAACTGCGTGGGGGGCCCCCTACCAGACTATTCCGAAAGCTACTTCAAGACCCTGTAGTGAATTCAGAGTTTCATATCTAAATACATCATAGATGTTTGACTATAATTGCTGAAAGTGCATTTAAAGACTGAGAACTACTGTATGTTTTTCAGCATTTCAGGTTACCTGATTTTTTTTCAGAGGGGGGCTATCATTTCTTGCTGAGCCGTGTTGTCTGCACTGAGTATGGGCACATCATGGAAAGAATGGCGCAAGAGTGAAGAGGGATTTTTTTTTTTTCCCAACAAGTTTAACGTCACAGCTGGCATTTTTTTTTTTGATTGATTCAAATTTGGCAGGGTTAACAGCACTTTTCTGTCTGGTGTGTGAAATTTTGAAGACTGACACTTTCTCGGGACTTAAAATGCGTCGTTGAAAAAGCTAACCAATTTGGAAAGCAAGCAAAAATATATATCTTCTTCTTCTCCTTTCGGCACGTCCCTATTCAGGGGTCGCCACAGCGAGTCAGTAATTTCCATCCGCCCCTGTAAACCGTCCTACCAACTCGCATGGTCGTCTTGACAAAAGTTTTACGCCGGATGCCATTCCTGACGCAACCCTCCCCACTTCTCCGGGCTTGGGACCGGCACTGGGGAACAGTGCACCCCCAGGGGAGGGCACTGCTCCCCAGCGGCTGGGTTAAGCAAAAATATATATCAATTATATGGAAAGAATGGTCTAGTCTTGGTTCGTTATTTTGTGGGGTTTTTTTTTCCCTCTGGACCCTTATCCTCAGCTATCCTCTTTGCAGAATTTTAGCATTTTTGCGTCTCTTTCTGTAATGCCACAAGATGGTACCACAGCCTTCTCTAACAGGAAAGTAGTAATTAGTGTCAAGGAATGACAGGACAGAGATGGGAGGTTCGATTAGCTTCTTAGCTGGATGAACGTGGGCTGAATATGTCAAAGCCGCATTTTCAGTCAGTAAGTTGGCATTCAGTTTAAAAACGGTATAAGGCTAAGTCCAAGTGTGATCCACAATGTCTGTGCTGCTACAGCCGATGCTTTACCTCGCTCGGAGTTCCTACGTGGACCCCCTTGCTCCGTGAGATGATATCCCTTCACCACCTTGACGTAGTCCCTCTCTTCCGAGACACACTCGTAGGTGCCGTAGCTCGCGTGGTTCATGGCGGGGATGAGGAGCAGGCAGTTGGAGCGCATCTGTAGGCAAGGGCTGCTTTGGTCTTCGTGTTTCCACGTGTAGACGGCATGGTAAGAGTCAATCGGACACGACAGGTAAAAAGGGACGCCCATAGGCACAGCGTGCAGAGTCAACAAATCCTTATCTAGGGGCGATGCGGCGTTCCTTCTGCTCCGGTTGACTTGATTATGTTCTTTAAGAAAAAGAAAAAAAAAAGGACAAGATAATGTGGGGGGGGGGAAAGAACATTGGCATTAAGTAATAATGGTACACTGACTTGGAAGCTTAATTTGTCCTCTGATCAAGCTCGTAAGAGACACACTTATAAGTCGAGGTACCAGTGTCCTGTAAACCCCCCAACTCCATGTGTTATGTTTCAGACCACCCATAAGTGAAATTCTCACATTACCCTGCTTAAATAATCCTTAGATATGTTTTATTTTATTTTTTGCATTGATGATATTTCTTTTTAAGATGTACATTATGGAATGAACCTACAGCTGTTGCGTTCTGTAGGCGTAAAACGTAGGATGACAGAGGAGATTCAATAATCTATTATTAATTTCTTCAGGAAAAATTAGGCTACGGGGGAGAAACTTCTTTTTGTTCAATGTAAACAGCTTCTAGTGGCCAAAAGTGAAATTACACCCCAACATTAAGAACATTACGTTATAATGGGGGAAAAAAAATCTGCAAAATAGCAGTTCCGCAAACCCCGGTCCCACAATGGAGGCGGGTTTACTGTATTCAGCATTTACGTACCTGATGTGGATGCAGAACACACACTTGTTTTCCCATCGATAATATTTTGAATGCCCTCACTGTAGAATAAATAAAAACATGTTCAACCGCCAATCAATTTCTTTTCATTTGTAGAAAACCAACAAGTAGATACTCATGAATTCTTCTATGTTTCAGACTTACGGGACTGTCGGGGTGCATCCAGATGGAGTCCAGGAGCAATAGGGGTCCCGAGCTAATACGCAGTCGGCGCAGGATTTGTTATACTCGTAACAACTCCGGAGGTCCACCACAGAAATTTCCTCTGCAAAACTCGCAACTAGTTTTTTCTAGGCGAAGACAAAAAAAAAAAAAAAATCGTATGCACCCTTACACAATCCAATAAGAGCCAATAAAAGCTTTTTGAAAAATTCTGCTTGGACAGAGACGAATGATCACTTAAGATTGCATTCCTCAAAATTCCGATTCAAGTCACATCAAGTTGCAATAGAATAAAAAGCCATGACAGTATGCTCAAACCCCCACAAAACCCTAAAACTGTGGTCGAAAACAAAAACATTTGCTGAGAGGCACTCAGTAGATGCGCTGAAACTACACAGGAAGATAAAACATTTCAAGGAGAACAACAACACGACGTCTACAAATAGATTTTGATGAGCGGTACCTTTTTGGAGTCCAGTTTCATCGACTGTAAGCTGGACTGACTGGGGATTTGCGTTTGGGAGATGATGAAAGGTTCCGATCCCGACTCTAGAATTTTATGAATCTTCCCAGAGTCTGTAGGGTATGATAAGAATAATATATCTTTCAAACACAGTTACAGTATTCTGCTAAGGAAAAAAAGCTAAATGTTTTGTCTTTTAACTGTCCAAATGACTGCATCGCAAACGTCCATTGAAACACAAAGCTGGTGGTGCACAGTAGTGTAGATGCGGAATGAGACACAGGATGTGTTTGGCTTTGTTGACTGTTGCCATAATTAGGCAAAGAAAGCACTAAAAATAGTCAAAAGATTCGGCAAGTCTATTGTTATGCAGCAAACAGGACATACCAGTGGCCAGCAGCAGAACGCTGTACACACTCTGGTCCGCCGCTTGGACGCGGTCCACAACGATCTTGGTGTAGTTTTCGTTGCTGACGTAAAACGGATTCACGTAGTGCACCGAGTGGACCCAGTCGCTCATTTCCGGATGATCCCTCACCACGCTGACGGTGGCCAATGGCAGTAGGCGGCTGTTGCGAACACACTGAAACACAAGATGCACTTTGTTGATGTTTTGGTCATCGTCAAACTCTGGGTCAAAAGTCATTTGGGTGAAATAGCTAACCCCAGTGTCGGGTCCAAAAAGGAATTCAGCTAATGTTGGGTTATTTATACTGAATCTTGAAAGAATTAAAATACTTCAGATACTGATTTTCAAATCTAATCAGATCAGGTTGATGTGCGTACAAAGGACTATATTATAGTACAGTTTTGGAATATATTCAGTTTCCGATGTGTGATGAACGCTTGGCGCAGGCCTTAACGTCAAGTTGGAAACCACCCTTTGCGAGAAGTGGTGATGACACCAACATTTTCCTCATATCCACCCACTTATAAAACTTCCATGTTTTTTTTTTTCAAAGCCACACAGTCCAACGCCTTGTGACACATGACAATACATTTAAGCCAGTTCTAGCCCCAAACTCCAAAATAGTACTTACAGTTCCTGGCCTTGGTTCTGGAATAGCCTTGTCATAGCCCTTGAAGGTGGAGTTGTTAAAAATGCCCTCAATAGTTTCCATGGAATAAATACAGACTGCAGTGGCGTTCCTGTAAAATCAATAGAATGACGAAAATGTGAATCGATTCAAATGAATTCATGAGGGCGGTTATTTTGAAGTCATTCTGGTAAGGAGCATCGGTGGGGAACTAAAGTTAATCTCATAAACGGGCAAGCTAAATCGTAACAATAATACTTGTCTTTGTGACAGGATAACATAATGTCTCAATACAAACATACTTGGCCAATAAAGTTGATGATGAAGATTCTGATTCTGATTTTGATGTCGCATGACAAAATTTGAAGGCGCTGTGAGATGCCGCTGACCTTTTGTTGCATTCACACTTATATACTACAGGCACATTTTTTTCTTTGACAGGTTCAAAATGTGGCCAGGCATCCACGGCAATCACGGCCTGTCATGTTTGGCCATCCGGCCCATGTGTCATGTCACGTCCACAGTGGCCTGAAACGTGATTGCCGTGGTCAACGTGGTTAACATCAGAAACCACAACTTTGCTCTGTGTCCAAATTAAAACACAGCCTCCAATATTTACTCACTGTGCTTGAGTAACACTCGTGGGAGGGAGTGAGCCATTGCAAAAGAGATTGCCCCACCCTGACTCTTTATAACATTACATAACTCTACTCCTCAGTTTTTCCAAGTGTGATTAGAATAGGGTTGCACTGAATTTCCTTAGAAACATGACAGCCACTTCAAATGTTTTTAGAATGTGAATGAAATGGGGATGGTCAGGGCAAGTTATTTAAGGATGCTTTGCCTCATGAAATAAAAAATGGAGCCGCTACATATTATTATGTTGAAATAATAGGCCGTTATTTTTATGATCATTTATTTACAATAATATTCATGTGTCATTATTACCATCAATACTATGATTAGGTTTGACATTATTGTATAATAATAAACATCATCATCATCATTACTGTTATTAATAATATGAAGATATTATCATGTGTGCCGTGCGATTGAGAACCAGTTCAGGGTGTGCCACGCCTACTTGTCAAAGTCTCCTGGGACAGGCTGCAGCACACTCGTGACCCTTGTGATATATATATTCACCCATTTTCTAATCCGATTATCCTCACGAGTGTCACGGGCGTGCTGGGGCCGATCCCAGCTATCTTCGGGCAGTAGGCGGGGTACACCTTGAATTGGTTGCCAGCCAACTGCAGGGCACACATAGACGAACAACCATCCATGCCTACAATCACACATGGGGACAATTTGGAGTGCTCAATCAACCTGCCGTGCATGTTTTTGGAATGTGGGAGGAAACCGGAGAACCCGGAGAAAACCGACCTCGGCAAGGGGAGAACATGCAAACTCCACACAGGAAGTCCAGAGCCGTAATCGAACCCTGCACTTCTGTACTTTGAGTACTTTGAGTATAAAGTATGTACTTTATATATATATATATATATACACACACACACACACACACACACACACACACACACACACACACACACTGCATATGGCCTCTCTTGCAGGTGTACCTAATGAAGTGACCAGTGACCAACCAATGACACAATGTACATTTCTGCGATGAGCCATTTTGCAGAATCAGGAGTCACGCAGAGCTTATTTTAGGCTTCATTTCGAAATGCTGAGCATGCATTTTGTTTCAATGTGTTACAGCCGTTCCACTTTGGGTTGCTAGGCATTAAAGGAAGGGAAAGTGTCAAACCAGCTGCTGGTGAAGAGGGCATACACCCTTGTGTCCCGCCAGTCTTCGGCATGCTGCACGTAGATGTCCTGCAGGCGGTTGAAATACAAGGACTCTTCTGGGAAGCCGCACACCAAACGAGCCTTGAGGAAAGATGTCCACGTGTTCTGGAAAAATCGCTTTGATCCGCCTTCGTCAGTCTGGAAAATAAGGAAACAAAGGAGTGTCATGTTTTCATTCTTTATTTAAATGCTTCACCATTGTGGCGTATGCAAGCATCAAGCATGCAGACAAATGTTATGTAATACCACATTGAACATTTTGCTTTTTTTTTGGTATAATTGTAATGAGGTGTATTAAGTCTGAGAAGTCCCCCCTTGAAAATGCATTCTCCACTGCATAGCTAATTAAGTAGTCACTTAGTTATGGTTTCATTAAACTGCCGAAAGTAACTGGTAGACCAGTGAGAGAGAAGAAAGTACGTACAGCAAAAATTTGTGATGACGAGCATCATGCAACATGTCTTGTCTGGACTGCGCGATTGCACTCCGTCATTGGAAATCTATTAAGTTTGCTCTTTGTATATTTTTAATTTCCTAAGAACAAATAATTGTGATTATAAGTCATGATAAAATTTTTGATCAAATAATCAAGATGATCATTTGGGGAAAAAAAAAATCATGCAGCTCTAATTCCAACTGAAGGTCCAGGTACCAAATGTGCAGTTCCGATAGCCTTTGTAAATTGTTCCTGGCGCCACCATGCGTGCCAGCTCATGTTACCTGACTCTGAGAGCTTTGTGGGAAGACAGCCGTCTAAAGACATCCAAGTTTCCCCTCATGTCATCTGAACCACAGTGTGTTTTGTCCAAGGTACCTTACAAACTCTGGCCACTCTGGAAATCCACGGATCGGCTTCCGGGTTTTGGTCAGAGTTCTTTTCCCGGAAAAAGATGTAGATCTTTTCATTTTCGGGGTCCTCTTTCCTCTTCACCCAGGAGGCAGAGACAAATGTGGGCTCTGTAGGAAGAAGACATCAGTCCTGATCAAGTCACGAGCATGCTTCTCTAGGAGGTATGCAGTGTGTGTCGGTTCAATGGACTTTGTGCTTTTCCTTCTGTTGTGACTCAGTAAGCTTCGGTAATAGTCATTCTTTTTCGCTCAGGATAAAGATTATATGCCTGTGACTCCTCTTATATTGACCGTCTTGATATGTGTTGATGGGCAAGGCCGTGTGAGACAACTTTTACCTGAAACCCAACTGTCGTACATCCAGACATTTGCCCTCCTGCCTGCTTTCCTTCTGAACTGCAAAGAGCTTCCATCAGTATCCAGCGGTGCTGCAGCGTAGAGATCGCCTTCTAAAATAGCAGACGCCAAAACGGGCACCACCGCTCTATTATTAGGTTCCTTTTATCTCGACGCCATTTACAGCGATTACAGGTCACATTCTCATGCCTTGAAGAAACACGCAAGAGGCGGCATTTAACATACCAACTCGGAGAGACAGCGAGTTCTGGGTGTACGTAAACGGAGAGATGCCCGTCCCATCGTGATGCTTCACCACCGCCGCGGACTGAAAGTAGGATCGCACAAAGTCAACAGGACGTACACAGATTCCGCAAACCTGCCTTATATTGCCCACAAAGCGGCTTGGTTACTTCATGAAACATTATGTTCAGTTTCATCAGCTCCTTAAATGGACCTAAATTGATTGCAACGGATGCGTCGTGCACTTACAGAACTCACAAGTCTCCAGCAGTGAGGCCTGTGTCCGTTGCTCCCGCAGACAAACAGAGTGTCCCCAAACTTCTCAATGACAGTGATGATATTTTCACAAGAGCCCTGTGCAGCAAGGCAGCGTGTTACGACCACACCTAAGCACCACCACTCATCATTCGAGTCATTTGCATCGTTACCAACCTCCTGGCACTGCTCTTCCTCTGTGGCCGGGAGATGAATTTCCTGCAGGGAAAATACAGCGCGTTAGTGACATAAAACTAATTAAATAATCAGCAGTGTTCACAAATAGATGGAATAATAACATAAACTTGATGATATCTAGTCCAGAGCGGCTTAAAAAATTGCAACCGTGGTCAGGTTTTATGGCATCTATGCCATTAAAAGATAAGTGGAAATCAACATGGCGGTGTCAGCAGTGCGCTTGTTTTTTTTCAGATGGAAATATTGCTTTAGCCAAGCTAAGTAACCCCTTGATTAATTTAAAAAAAAAATGGAGGCGGGGGGATATATGTATACTGTATTTAATTGACTAACCCTAAGTCCCAAATCTTCAAAAAGTGCTGAGAAACATTCAACATACATTGTCCAGGAAAAACAGGAGAAAATAGGAAAATTTCCAACAAGAACTAAAAGAGGGGAAAAAATTCCATATATTAAAAAAGATAGGAAAAAAAAATATCTGTGAATATCTGAATCTGCGGGTGCAGAACTGTAAATATGCAGGCTTAACTGTGGTTTTCAGTTGTATTATCACTAATCACCATTAGATGGCAGACATGTCTTGATTGTGCTTACACTGGCCATTTGCATTTTTTTGCTGGACTATGTGCTGAAAAACTTTTTTTAATCGGGATGTATCCACTTCCTATATCCATTGTATGTGTATGCTTCCACAAATTTTAAACTGAAAAAAAAACAGTCAATACAGCATGAAGGAAAACTGAAAGGTTCAAATGTAGAAATGACATTGTCGAGTTGGAAACAAAACATATGTCTGCTGGCATCTTGTGACTAGCACTTGATCAGCATCTGCTGAATGAAAACGCAGCATGAAGCGACTTGGGAAAGGCCACGGCTGTCAGTGGACACAATCAGCCCTGAGCCGCTGTGCGCGTCACAACAGAGAGACGCTTAATCTTTTACAGTGCAATCTAATTATCTCGACTGCGGCAGCAACGACTCCACCAGCTCCTTCATGCTGAAGGTTGCGGCTGATACACGTGAAAATGTGCGCGGAAAAAAATAAAAATAGCGGGACCTACTTGAGCGATTTGATAGCGATCCAAGTCAAGCTTGAACACAAAGTCAGTTCCTCCGATATAAATCTCCCCGGAGTCTTCATGATAAATTAAAACAGTGTGGTTTTGATGGACCGGATAGACAAATCTTCCTTTGATGACATCTGAAAGATAAAGTTGTTCTTTTCACAGTCAACTCAGCACATTTCATTTCCTTCAAGGGGTTAAGTGAAGGTTACATTGGGCTGCAGACGGTGACCACAACATGAAGCGCACCTGCGCAACCGAAACAAATACAAATGGCTGTATCAACAATTCTGCCTGGGCAAAGATCAGCAGAATGTGAGCCTTCGCCAAGTTCAAACAGACCAAGAATGTTCACCTTCCTGTGTGAATTTCGTGAACATTTTTAAGATTGCTGGAGAAAAGCGTCAGTGCAAAGAAAATCACTTGATGAACGCCAACAGTGTTATTAAAAATGTATCTACTGCCAGCCATATTCAAACCCTCCTTTACCCTACCATGAGAAAAAAAAATAAAGAAAATAAAAATATACAAATACATACCTGTATTTGAATGTGGGGATTCTTATAAGACCAATATATGTCATTGGCAGTGAAAGGGTTTCAATGTAACAATTTATTTTTGTTTTGATAACAAGACTTTGGCTACATTTTCATAAAAATGAGGGTCAAAATATTAGGAACATTTCCCAGCTCTATTTTACTGAAAACTAACCGCCACAATACACACGATATGATGGAACTACTATTTTGATGTCTTTTGCTTTGGATCTCGTGAAGCCATATTGCAGAAATTGATAGCAAGGCAAATCTTCTAATATACATCACTACATTTAATACTTTATTTCCACTTATTCGGTTAATCATCATCTCATTAACTATTAAAGATGTATTGAAATGACGGTTTACCTTGACTCAGAAGTCTGGGGCTATTTTTCGAGCCAAAGGTCGGTGTGTCCTCTGAGGTGACGTGGAGGGTCCAGTGAAAATGTGCAAGAAAAGACAGGAAAAGACTTTGAATCAGCTTCATCTTGTGCATTCATCTGTGGTCATCCCCCAAGCGACTGATCCGCATGCAGGCAGGGCCTCACTTCTATACTCAGCACTGACTCACACTCACATGCAACGCCCCTGCTCGCCCCCTGCTGCAAATTCAACATGGAAAACAATTTAGTTAACAAATTCCCTCTGGAGTAAACTACTTAAAAGCCAGACTAACCAAAGAGTGAAGTGGATGTTAGATAATAGCTCATTCACTGCAAATAAAAATGTGTTTGTGTGTAGCCATTGCCATTTGGAAGAAAGCAATGAATCAGGTCAATGAGTCTGTTGAAGCGTGGTTAGAATACATTAAGCTCAAAAGTTTCAACTATATGTTTTTAAAAACCAGGCCACATGAAATGAGGTGAACATTTTAAATTAACTATACATGTAATCCAATAATGGTTAATTAATTGTTGTATTAATTTTGTCAAGAAAACCCCTATTTTTCGATATCATATTTTATATAAAACAGGCCTTATATAGAAGAAATATACTAATTTGAAAGAAATCATTTATGGAAGTCTCAAGATGACTTTTCTAGCGTACTGTCAATATTTAATTCAGGAATGGACAATTTAAGACATTCTTTCACATTAAATGTTGAATTTATTTAATTGGCGACATATCGATTTCATTTAGGCACAAAATCACTTCAATTATAACACGGGGGGCGTTATCTTCAGACACCTATTTACAGTACAAAGATTGATAGCACAAATGATACAGTTTTGTTTTTACAATTCTGCCCTCGTTTTGTATTTCTAGCTCATCTTTGTTGATGGAAATAATTGATTCTTATTCTTCCAAAAAATCGCGTATAATTTTCACGTGGCTTTTGTACGTTGTTCTTCTGCTGCCAAGTCCTAACATGGTGAATTAGATGAAGTATTCAACCACGACGTAATTAACTTAAGTATGTTAACGTCCACAAGAGTTATGTTTGGTGTTGGCGTGACAGAAAGGTCCACATACTAATGAGAGCGTGTCAGGAAAACTCAGGTTTATGTAACAGGAGTTTGTTGGTTTTGAACTGTGGGTTGTTTATAACTCGTTTACGATTAAGTGCTGTTTTGTCTACTGATCTTAGATAAACATTTACCAGATTCTGTCATAAAATTAAACAAAAATACACATTAGTAGTTCAGATGTCGATCGGATTACGAAAGTCATACAACGTTTAGAGATTACGTACATCATGTTTTTACTCCAGATGTGATGTTTTAAATTGTTATTATGACTGTACTGCTGTGTAACTGTGTAACCGTGAAAGCAAGGTTTGCGAAAGACGCTACGGAAACAAATTTATCGCCTAAGGAAACGGAAGCCCGTCGTAAAGCGAGGACCCCTGCGTCGGAATCCTGTGCGGAAGAGAAGAAGAGAAAAAAAAATCCTGTGCGGAACGAACGCCCCACCCACTCTCAATAGTCCAATCAGCAGCAAAGTATGCAAGCTACTTCCTTTTCACTTCTGCGTCTCGTTTGCAGTTAGCGAGCCATGGTAAATAAACACATCTTATTCTGATAAAATCTAACCGTGAAGTTGGCAAGTAATCCAATCGAATGCATACAACTAAACGTGTGTAGCTGTATTTGATTTCGATAGTTTTGTCCCGATTTATGGTCGTTCGCGGGTTAAGCTAGTGGCTAAAATGTGGAGTTTTGCGTTATTGGCGCTCATGTGATGTTTTTCTTCTCATAGCGGTTCCGATTCTGTGGAGATTTGGACTGCCCCGATTGGGTGCTTGCCGAAATCAGCACTCTGGCGAAAATTGTAAGTTCTCGCCTTTTTTCTCAGAATGCGAATTTTCGTTTAAATAGTGGCATGTTCTGATCGCCCTCTGTGATATGGCAGTCTAGTGTCAAAATGAAACTCCTTTGTGCCCAAGTATTGAAAGGTCTGCTCGGGGAGGGCATTGATGTAAGTTTTTTTTATTCCTTAAGAGTTTCCTAAACACGTAACCAACAATAACATGTGCTCTCTGCAATTATTTTAGTATGACAAAGTTACAAAGCTTACAGCTGATGCCAAGTTTGGTAAGTTTCTTCCCTTCTGAAAATGCTGCCTTCATGCATTTAGTTGCTAATTATGTTTATTTTATGTTAGTCAATTGTTTCCTGTGACTGCAATGCTGTGGTACGATCTGATACTGTGACAATTCGTTTGACAGACAGTGGAGACATTAAAGCCAGTGTGGCCGTGCTCAGCTTCATTTTGTCCAGTGCGGCAAAGCATGATGTCGACAGTGAATCTTTGTCCAGTGAGCTGCAGCAGCTTGGCCTGCCTAAAGGTTGGTCACCCCTGCCTCACCTTGTGGTGATGGTGATGATAGTCACTGTTGGAATATCCAGAGAAAACCCATGCAAGCACGGAGATAATGTGCTAACTTCTGACAGGAAGGCTGGAGTTGAGATTTGAACCCAAGACTATGAATTCTGAAGGAAGATGCGCTAACAAAGATTACATTTGTAGTCAATTAGCCCCTCGTAATTTTAAAATTCTTAGTCAAATTTGATTTTTTTCATCCTTCTATAATTTATTTGATAATAATTATATATATATATATATATATATATATATATATGATAATAATAAACAATTTGTTTTAATGTTTCACTGAAATCATCTCAAATATACATAGAAATGTAGTTCAATATAAATAACAATATACAACTATAATCATGCCAAAAGATGTAAATTATAAAATAGGGCTATCCTTCTCTGTAGGTATAAAAACCAGGATTACAGAGGATAACATTTAATCACTTTCAACAAAAACTAAACTGTACTGTAATACTGTTTCGTTCTTGCAAAGTTATGCAATCTCAAACTTGTGTGTTGCCCTCTTGCTGTCAAACGTGGAATTAAACCACATAAATCAGAGTTTGCCCAAAATAATGAACTGTATTAAAAAAAGAATCTGTGAAAGAGTGGAATCAAAAAACCTGGACCCTGTGATGGAGTTTTACTGTATTTTATTTAATGAATATGTATAATATTAGTTTCCCTGAAAGAACTACTGAAATCAGGGGTGGGGTGGCCATCAAGAATAGAAATATGTTAATTTTCTCAAAGGGCTTGTGTATTTTTGGGCCTGCGCATCATGGGTGGCCTACACCCCCCGTTGACTTTCAATTTTCGGGATGTGACTTCGCATTCCGTTTTGTTGCATGGCGACCCTTCAACAACAACTTTTCAACACATGATGGCCACAAACCCCGCCGTCCTCACATCAGTGATTATGTTTTGACTAGTGATGCCCGTGGGCAATGACTATTCCCGGGCTTAATTATTTTCCCCAACATGTCCTTGACTGAGAGAGATATATACTGTATACATTTTTACATGATTCTGAGATGCATCTGTATATATTTGATATGTTGGTCATTCATTCAGAACACACAATGGGGCTGTGCAAGTCGTATGAGGACAAGCATTCCGCAGTGCAAGACAAACTGAGAGAGACCAGCTTGAGATGTGAGTAATATACGATTGCTCACTCCTGACAAAGCATGCAAACAACTCCACTCTCTTGTGAATTTCAGTGGGCCGACTGGAGGCAGTCTCCTGGAGGGTGGACTACACGCTGAGCTCCAGCGAGATGAAGGAAGTCAACGAAGGGGTCGTTCAGCTAAAGCTGCAGGCTTCAGGAGCCGAGTCAGGTTCCTCACAAACCACTGTGGTCTCGCTATCTGCTGACAAATTCAGAGTCTTGCTTTCAGGTTTGTCCCGCAACAAATCCCAAATCATCTAGCAACCAATTATATCATAATTCTGTTTTTGGTGCTTTTCTTGCAGAGCTCAAACAAGCCCAGGCTATGATGAATGCTTTACAATGACCAACAGAGTCAATTCCCACCTCCTCAAGTTCCAAAACGGGACACAAATGCTATTTTCCATGTGTGTGTGAGAGAGAGAGAGAGAGAGAGAGAGAGAGAGAGA